CTTCCAGCTGTTCCACAACAAAAGCCTTCCAGCTGTTCCACAACAAAAGCCTTCCAGCTGTTCCACAACAAAAGCCTTCCGCGTGTTTCACAATAAAAGCCTTCCAGCTCCTTCACAATAAAAGCCTTCCAGCTCCTTCACAATAAAAGCCTTCCAGCTCCTTCACAATAAAAGCCTTCCGGCTCCTTCACAATAAAAGCCTTCCGGTTATTTCACAATAAAAGCCTTCCAGCTGTTTCACAATAAAAGCCCTCGAGTTTCTTCACAATAAAAGCCCTTCAGCTTCTTCAAAATAAAAGCCTTCCAGCTCCTTCACAATAAAAGCCTTCCAGCTCCTTCACAATAAAAGCCTTCCAGCTCCTTCACAATAAAAGCCTTCCAGCTCCTTCACAATAAAAGCCTTCCAGCTGGTTCACAATAAAAGCCTTCCAGCTCCTTCACAATAAAAGACTTCCAGCTGTTCCACAATAAAAGCTATATTATTGTGACTGTATTGAGGTGTTATTGATCTGGTCTGTTATTCATATTATTGATAGAAGCGGTCAGAATTGTTGTTTTGAAGCTTTGTTTTATTTTTTATAATGCGTAAATATATGAATCTGAAATATTGGGAGTTGTAGGAGGCCAGTAAACACGTGTTGATTCGCCGCTATATATATATATATATATTTTAAATGTTTTATTGGCGTGTTATCTATATATTAATCTGCATTATTGGGCGTTGTAAGAGGCCAGTACAGACGTGTTGATCGGTGAGAATCAGACTGAATCAGGTCAGATTTGATGAGGGTCTCGGGAGGTAATTTAACCTGCGTGTCTGCTGACGGTTTATTAATGAAGCGCCGTCTCTGGAGCTTTTGCTCTCCGTCTCATTCATAATAAGTGATTCTGCTGCGACTGACGGGAACATGAAAAAGAAATGCTCGCCGTGATCATGACTGGCACTTTGTAATTAACCAAATCCTCACTTCAAACGTCAGGAGACGATAATCCCTCCTCTGGCTGGACTCGCCCCCGTCACGTTTTTTCGGACGAAAGGAAAGCTTCATCCTCCGTGACGCAGCTCCTTAAACCGATTCGTCTCAGCGGTTTCAGCTGCATGCTGGGAAACACCAGAGAAACCACCACTGTCCTGGCATTATTGATTCTAAAATCACAGCAGAAGCACCCACTTCAAAATTCGGAGAAACACGAAGATGGGGAAATATCCGCTTTGAACACATCACATGATCTTCATAGGACGAAGATGAAGGTCATGTGATCAAATAACAGTTAAATAATCTGTTAATCAACTGAAACGAAGAGAGTACATCAAAAAAACAGTTAGCAATCTCATTAAAAATACGATTAAATATTTAGTTATATAGTATATTACAAATGCATACTCTGAAGGGATCATGTGACTTTAATTTAACTTGGTCCCAGACATCTTCTTTCAAATGTGAGTATTTGCTATATAAGCACACACACTCACATTGGAGTGTGTGTGCACAAGTGGATGGAAAAGTATGCATTTCCTCCACTGTGCAGAGTTTATTTGTTTCTCTGTATTATTGCTCATGAATCTCTGCGTCGCTGAGAATATTGGCTTATTTTCCACTCTGGGAAATGCATACATATTGGGATATGCATACAAATCAGAGTGTGTCCGTCAGTGTGTAACTTCACTCTGGGCTGTGTGTGTGAGTTCAGATGCAGTTCATGAGCAGGAAACTGAGAAATGAAAGATAAATGTGAGATGTGTGGAGAAGATGCAGGGCTCCATGTTTCCCTCTCCTTCAGGCTGACGACTGTTATTAAGAAACATCAGAGTGAGACCTCGTCACTGTGAAAGAGATCTGACGTCAGCAGAGACTCCCAGAGGAGGCGACTGCTCCTGGGTACAAAAGAAATGAGATGATATAGAAGTCTATGAGAAAATAAGATACTTCTCTCTCTTGATTTATTACCTCAGATTGAATAGAAGTCTATGAGAAACCAAGATGGTGACGACAAAGAAAACAAGAAACAAGCTTGAGGTTATCTCAGGGCAATTTTCATAAAGTCCTGGGGCCTCATTTATAAAGGGATATACGCTCAAAAAATGGCGTACGCCAGTTTCTACGCAATGTTTGCGATTTATAAAATACTAACTTGACGGGAAAATGTGCGGTCCTCCACGCAAACTCTAACCCATGCGTACGCACTAAGCACAACAACGGGAGAGACGAGAAACTGCGACACCGTTGGCAGAAGAAAGAATGGAGAGAAATATGTGGAAATAAATAAAATGTTACCTCTCATTTATCAAATATGAAGAATTCATTTTCAAACATTGATTAAAGCCAATCTTAAAATGATTAAACAAACGCCTGTTTGAGACTCCTCAGTGCACACAAAAACATAACTTGGAGAAATAAATAAATAAATACAGATATGTTATTTAAAACCACCTCGAATATGTTGTGTTAATGTTATGAAATGTTTTCTCATAAATGATGCGGTAAGCAGGAGGACAGAATTACGTCTAAACTGGCGCCGTTTTGCTTTTCTATAGGTTGTAGATACGAGCGTGGTTTTATATACTATCACGTTTAATCGTGTTTTATGCCGTTTGCCAAGACTTGATAAGTCGCTCGTAAAACACAGGAGGTATGGAAACTAAGAACACCATATGTGGTAAACAGCTAATATAACACAACACATTGTATTTCCTTTAACTGGTGGATTATGGATATATAGTTGCTGATCGACAGCTGGAACACAAACCACCAAATACAACACAATAATTCAGATCCAGTCGTCATGACTACACTCCGGAGGGATTCCCCGATCATTTCTTACAGTTTCTCATCAAGGGGGGTGTCTCCTGTCCCCGGGACAAACACACTGCATGAGGAAGGCTATGTTTTTTTTTTTTGTCATTAACTTTTTTCGGACCACTTATTTATTTATTTTGGTGACGATCCGACCTCCATGCTGCTACTCTGGTTCAAACTGCATCCACCAAACAATATGATTTATCTCCACCTCCCCACAATAACCATAATCTGACACGGTGTGAGATGTCTTTTTTAGCTGTTCTGTCCTCATTTCCTGCGATCTTCTTCATGCAGTCAGTCACAATGAATGAATGAATGGGCGTTTCTTTGACTATGTATAGGCAAATATGGGCGTTACGAGTCGATTGTGATTTATAAAGGGAAACAGGCGTAGGGAGTGCCGTACGCACTTCCCTCGCCGGTACGCAAGGTTTTGTGAATCGGAAAATGTCGGAACATTTCTGTACCTATTTTTGTGCTTTGTACTACGTAAGCAACCTTCTCACGTCAATCCTACGCACGGCGTTATAAATGAGGCCCCTGGTCTTCTCTGTTCTCTGAAATGATATTAGAAGCAGCTTCTCTTTTGAGGAGGAAAATCACAAAGACATAGATCTTAATAATTTTGGACTGCAAGTGGGACGCGTGGAAACAATTTAATGATCTCCTGGGATCTCCTCGCGTTTTAATCTGATGAAAGTGTGAATGTTTTACAGTCCAGGTTGGTTTTTAAAAGGTTTTCCCTCCTCCACATGTTGTAAATCACTTTCCAAAACTTCCATTCTGCATAAAACCACACTCTGTGTTGGAAGGCAGAGGTTTGTACTTAAAAAATCTGAGTATTTCCTGTGTTGTGGTAATAAAGACCGGCTGATTATCTAACACTCAATTATAAATATTGATCCCCACTTGGCTGCAGCTGCAGGAATTACACTAATGGTCTCAATGTGGTCCAACACGGAGACATAAATCACACAGAGAGAGGAGCTGCCAAGTCACTGCAGAGGAAACACCTGAGTGGAGTGCACCAGCTGGGCGTGAACAAGTAGGTCTTAACTCTAACGTCATGCTTAGCTACGTCTGACTTAGTGATTTGAATTTACACAGAGTGCACCACGCCTGCCTCGTCACGGTCGTAGCTGCGCCTCGCCTTAAGATGCGCGTCCACGTCAATACACGCACAACAGTAATTTTCTGTCTGATCCATGCTGGAGTTGAGGGGAGATCTCAAGTAATTCAAAAAGGGCTTGTCTGCTTGTCCAGTGGGTTTGTTCAATCACAAACGACTCATCTGAATGCCCTTTAGTTGTAAAACCTGTAAACAAGACACACTGCCATCGTTATTTTCCCTCTTGCCTGTTTTACGTTACTATGGATACTAGTCTGTCTTTGCGATTCACGCCTGCTCCACACTAGGCGTAAAAGTTACACCGCAACGCATACAGGGCTTAAGTCTAAGTGGTGCACTAGTCATCATTTGGCTCACTAAGAAGAAGAGCCGGCTCTTTTTTACCACGGAGCCTCAGTTTCGCCGCTGCGAGGCTCCGGCGCTCGCAGTTCACGCGCGTGCTCCACCGCTCATCGCGTCCAAATCGCGTACGTTCCGTGTTGTCCTGTGGCAGGCACCGTGGGGCCAAGATACGAAAAGCTGAAAAGAGGCCGATGTCGGGGAAACGATCTTCAATACTCCGAAAAGAATCCCACCAGGCTCCTTTGCCCCTCCAACATAGAGATGTCCTTGTCCTTTTTTCCTTTTCGTCATTTCAAGCGCTAAAAACTTTTGACGCCCTCGGCTCGAGTTCAGGGCGTTCCGAGTCAAATGACGGCAAGACGCCCCCCCTGGCGGAAACACTGATCACAGTATAGATTAAACACCTGATGTACCTGAACACAGCACCTGAACACATCACACTATAGAGGAAACACCTGAACACATCGCCTGAACACATCGCCTGAACACATCACCTGAACACATCACCTGAACACGTCCCACGGGCATCTAAACACACCTGAGCACCTGAACACACCTGAGCACCTGAACACACCTGAGCACCTGAACGTGACACCAGAAAAACTCACCTGAAGACAACCCATTAATACAATACCTGAATAATTTACCTGAACACCACATTAACACAACATCTAAACACACCAACTGAACACATCACCTCAACTGAACACCTGAACACATCACCTCAACTGAACACCTGAACACATCACCTGAACATGAACTCAACATATAACCTGAACACATTTTCTGATCATAACACCTGCACCTCAACACATCACCTGAACATTTCTTCTGCACACAACAAATAAACATATCCCTTGAACACAACACCGTATCACATCACCTGACCATAACACCTGAACACATGACCTCAACAAAAGACATCACCTAAACACAGCACCTGAATGCATCACTCGAATATATCCTGCAGGATCCGACGGTTTAAACCTCTCACAGTGACTCTGGCTCAGGGTCTTGGATTAAAGCTCCGGCTAATCTGAGGAAATTAATTCAGAATTCCCGAGACAGGAAGTTGGAGTGGCGGTGAAATCAATGTGTGTGTGTACAGAGCAGTGTGTACAGTGCAGTGTGTACAGTGGAGTGTGTGCAGTGCAGTGTGTACAGTGTGTGCAGTGCAGTGTGTACAGTGTGTGCAGTGCAGTGTGTACAGAGCAGTGTGTACAGTGTGTGCAGTGCAGTGTGTACAGAGCAGTGTGTATAGGTCAGTTTTTATATTGCAGTTTTTATGTTGCAGTTTTTATGTTGCAGTTTTTATGTTGCAGTTTTTATGTTGCAGTTTTTATGTTGCAGTCTGAAGATTTTCAAACCAAAGTTCAGACTCTGATGTTCCTTCAGTTTCACAGTCGTAATAAAAGTTTCATGTTCACTTCGACCGTCAGCTGAAAGTGAAATACAGAAAGAGACACACACGTCTCTGTTAGTATATCCAGCTTTCTTCTTCTGCAATGCTTTAAATGCTTTCCCTCCATCAACCAGCCCCTATGAATCAACAACAACAAGCAGGCACGTTTTACTTTCAACATTTTAAACCGACCTGACTGCTGTCTGTCCTCAGTTACATAAATGTGGAGATTACTGGAGCTTCTTAAATCAAACGCTCCCTCTGAAGAAGAAGCACATTGTTGAGTGTGATGAACGGTTTAAAGACACGAGTGAAGAATCGTTTCTCAGACAGTTCATGGCATATATCAATAAGTGAATAAATAAATAAATGTGTAGAGCACCAGCAGCAGTGATTGGAGAGCGGCTCCCTGACATTAATAAATGATGAGTAATAATCAGGTCAGCCTGAGAGAGGATCTGCTGCAGCTCTCGCTTATTTCAGCTCTCAAATTGAAGAAATGTCCTCACTTTGATGTTCGTGCTGCCTTCAGGCGCACTGCTGATGTCACGGTCAGCCGGCTGCTCATTGGTCCGTGAAAGATAGTTTCTGTCCAGACAGAAACGTCCAATCAGAAGCTTTTATTGTGCTGGTGTCACGCTTCAGGTGGCTGCTAATTAGGCCATTCAAGAAAAATGTACTATTCAATCAAAAACATCCAATCAGAAGCTCCCAATATACGGATGTCACGGTCAGCCGGCTGCTTATTGGTCCAGACAGAAACATCCAATCACAAGCTCCCAATATACAGATGTCACAGTCAGCCGGCTGCTTATTGGTCCAGACAGAAACATCCAATCACAAGCTCCCAATATACTGATGTCACGGTCAGCAGGCTGCTTATTGGTCCAGACAGAAACATCCAATCACAAGCTCCCAATATACTGATGTCACGGTCAGCCGGCTGCTTATTGGTCAGTGAAAGATAGTTTCTGTCCAGAGGGAAACATCCAATCAGCAGCTTTCACTCTACTGATGTCACGTGTCAGGTGGCTCCTTACTGGCTCTTTAACAAGAAGATTTAGTGTCCATTCAGAACCCTCCAATCAGAAGCTCTCATTTAGCTGATGTCACAGTTGGGGGGGCGGAGGGCTGCTTCTTGGGCCATTAAAGAAATTTACTTTTCACTCGTAATCATCCAATCGGAAGCTTTCATTCTGCTGGTTTCTCATGTCAGGTGGCTGCTTATCGTTCCTTTTAAAGAAATGTACTTTTCACTCAATCATCCAATCAGAAGCTTTCATTCATGTCAGGTGGCTGCTTATTGTTCCTTTTAAAGGTATTTAGTGTCCATATGAAAACATCCAATCGGAAGCTTTCATTTTGGTGATTTCACGGTCAGCCGGCTGCTAATTGGTTCGTTAAAGAGAACATTTAGTGTCCATTCAGAACCCTTCAATCAGAAGCTCTCATTTAGCTGATGGCACAGTTTGGGGGCTGCTTCTTCTGAGAAATGTACTTTTCACTCAGAATCATCCAATCAAAAGCTTTCATTCTGCTGTTTCACATGTCAGGTGGCTGCTTATCGTTCCTTTAAAGAAATTTACTTTTCTCTCAATCATCCAATCGGAAGCTTTCATTCATGTCAGGTGGCTGCTTATCGTTCCCTTTTAAAGGTATTTAGTGTCCAGATGAAAACATCCAATCAGAAGCTTTCATTTTTGTGATTTCATGGTCAGCCGGCTGCTAATTGGTTCGTTAAAGAGAACATTTAGTGTCCATTCAGAAACATCCAATCAGAAAACTTTCATTCTGCGGCTGTCACTGTCAACTAGCTCCTCATTGGTCAGTCTTATGAATTCTAGTATCTGCAGTTCTCTGACATCACTTCCTGTCTGTGTTCAGGTCCGGTGACGAACGCTGTCATCATGGCGGCTCCAGCGAACATGTTCCTCCCCGACAGTCGTCCGGCCGTCCCTCTGCCGAGGTTCAGCCGACACCTGCAGGCCTCTGAAGGGGGCGGGGCCTCAGAGGTGTGTGTCCGCCCCGCGCTCTACACACAGGTGAGGGTGGACTCTTATTCTGAAAGGTTTACAGGAAGAGACCTATCTGCAGAAAGTTTGAGACTGAACCTCTTTTATTTTGAAATGTTTCCAAGAAGGAGGGGAAAACGTACCTGCAGAAAGCTTTTATTTTGAAATGTTTCCAAGAAGGAGGGGAAAACGTACCTGCAGAAAGCTTTTATTTTGAAATGTTCACAGGAAGAGACCTACCTGCAGGACCATTATAGACTGAACTCTTATTTTGAAATGTTTACACTAAGGGGAGCAGACGTACCTGCAGAAGGCTGAAAGACTGACTTATTTTATTTTGAAATGTTGACAGGAAGAGGAGCAGACTTAAATGCGCAAAAGCTGACATTTATTTTGAAATGTTTACAGGAATGTTAGACTGAACTCTTTTATTATGAAATATTTACCGGGAGGAGACCTACCTGCAAAAACCTTATAGACTGAACTCTTATTTTGAAATGTTATCAATAAGGGGAGCAGACGTACCTGCAGAAAGCTGAAAGACTGACTTCTTTTATTTTGAAATGTTGACAGGAAGAGGAGCTGACGTACATGCAGAAAGCTGATATGCTGAACTTGTTGATGAACGCTGTGACGGACAAGGTAAGAAGGGGCGGGGCTTCAGGCGATCATGTGATCATGTGATCATGTGGAAAAAAAAAACTAAATGTCAGAGACAAAAATATAAATGTCACAGAGAGCCCGAAGAATGCCTGCTCACTTTATTAACATTAATCAGCACTTTTTTTATAATCCCTGATTATTTATTATTAAATATTTATTTTGATGTTTCAGTCGGTGTACGGAGACGGGGAGAACACGAAGGTTCGAGTCTCCGAGCTGGAGGAGGAAGTTCAAACTCTGAAGAAAGTCAACAAAGATCTTTACGAGTTCACCAGCCAGCTGCTCACCAAACCCACATAAACACACACACAGACTCACACACTGATACACACATCCCTGTGAACATGTGCACACGTTAAAACTGTCTGTGATGATTTTGTTTTTATAAAATAAAATTAATTTGTTTTGGTAAAACTTCCTGTTTGTGTCTTTGTTGATGTGGAAATGTTCCTGCAGTGAGTGAATGTTACACAAAATTACAATAATTAAGTACCATCAGAAACTTTACCTCATTAACAATCAGAAACTCTACCTCAATATTAACCATCAGAAACTCTACCTCATTAACCATCAGACACTTTACCTCATTATCAAACATCATAAACTATACCTCAATATTAACCATCAGAAACGTTACCTCATTATTAACCATCAGAAACTATACCTCATTAACCATCAGACACTTTACCTCATTATCAAACATCAGAAACTATACCTCATTATTAACCATCAGAAACTCTACCTCATTAACCATCAGACACTTTACCTCATTATCAAACATCAGAAACTCTACCTCAATATTAACCATCAGAAACTCTACCTCATTAACCATCAGACACTTTACCTCATTATCAAACATCAGAAACTATACCTCATTAACCATCAGACACTTTACCTCATTATCAAACATCAGAAACTCTACCTCAATATTAACCACCAGAAACTATACCTCATTAACCATCAGAAACGTTACCTCATTAACCATCAGAAACTACCTCATTATTAACCATCAGAAACTATACCTCATTATTAACCATCAGAAACTATACCTCATTAACCATCAGAAACTATACCTCATTATTAACCATCAGAAACTATACCTCATTATTAACCATCAGAAACTATACCTCATTATTAACCATCAGAAACTATACCTCATTAACCATCAGAAACTATACCTCATTATTAACCATCAGAAACTATACCTCATTAACCATCAGAAACTATACCTCATTATTAACCATCAGAAACTATACCTCATTATTAACCATCAGAAACTATACCTCATTATTAACCATCAGAAACTATACCTCATTAACCATCAGAAACTATACCTCATTAACCATCAGAAACTATACCTCATTATTAACCATCAGAAACTATACCTCATTATTAACCATCAGAAAATATACCTCATTAACAATCAGAAACTATACCTCATTAACCATCAGAAACTACCTAATTATTAACCATCAGAAACTATACCTCATTAACCATCAGAAACTATACCTCATTATTAACCATCAGAAAATATACCTCATTATTAACCATCAGAAACTATACCTCATTAACCATCAGAAACTATACCTCATTATTAACCATCAGAAAATATACCTCATTAACAATCAGAAACTATACCTCATTATTAACCATCAGAAACTACCTAATTATTAACCATCAGAAACTATACCTCATTATTAACCATCAGAAACTATACCTCATTATTAACCATCAGAAACTATACCTCAACATTAACCATCAGAAACTACCTCATTATTAGCCATCAGACACTTTACCTCATTAATAACAAACATAAACTTTACGTCATTATTAACCATCAGAAACTATACCTCATTATTACCCCTCGACAACTTTAGACCCAGATTTAGACTTTTTGGGTCTCTTTGTGACGTACAACAAATGAACAGTAATTTAAATCCGTCCAATCAATAATCGGTCCCTGCCATACTTTTAGGCTTTTATTCTAAAGGAACTGATTCTACAGAAGATTTCAGTCGTGGACCTCAATTAACCCCGGCTGGTGTGAGTTTAAATGCGCTGATCAGAGCGATTCTATGCAGTGTAGCTTCAAATAAACCACATTCAAAAAGAAGAAACCCTTCTACAGCAAACTCCATTAAAAAATCTGCGTTTAGCGTCTGAGCTCCTGACCGCAGACAAGGATAATATATCTGTATTTTATTAACTAATATATATCATAATGTGGATTAATAGATCTGTAGACTTTTTATTATTCATACTTACACCTATGAACCTTTTAATTATAAATGTAGCAGGGCACCGGTTCTCTGATAAAAGAATCTAGGACAATGTTCTGCTGGAGAAATATCAAGAAGATATTGTGGGGGAAACTTCTGAAGCAATTGGAAACAGGACACAAGGAGAGCTGGAGCTTTGATGGAAAACACTGACGGTTTATTTGGAGCTTCGGCCGGAGAATTCACAAGACATGTCACGAGCCACGATCTGACCACACGGTTGAGATGCCACAAACAATTCTGCAGACCCCTCCTGTAGCTCCAGGTTTTAGTTCAGAGTGTAATAATCAACATTCTTCAATAGAGAGACTAAACAGCTGAGGGACACTGAATCACATTTGTTGTCGCTTATGGCTCGGGGTCATCTACACCCCGAGAAGGATGTGTTCCAGGTGTCCCACAACAATAACTATCTCTGACCGAGAGCTGCCCGGTCACAAACTGGTAACATCAACAACTTGCTAGGGCAGCCCCTCCTTAAGGGAGATAGCGGCTGATCAAGGTTGGGCATCTGCGTCAGAGGGCAAAAGGTAAACATGTAGGGCGAAATCATTCCCTGACAGATATTAAATTCAATATAAACTTATCAGTGAATGAGGCTTAAGGCTGTGACTTCACTTCCTAAAACTTACAACAAAAAAATTGATCATATATTGTAATTGCAATTGTATTTTAAAGGAGTGTTTTCTAGCTGTTATTTGGTTGGGGTGTTTTCGTTATATTTTGACTGGTTGTAATATATTTATAACAAATATTTTAAAATGTCTTTGATATGCCCCCTGTCTGTAAAACCTTCAAATGAAACAGTTTTATTTTTACTGATTAATCTCCTTTTTGTCCTTTAATAAAATAAAAAATGCACCCTTTATTTATTTAGGAAGAGCTCAGTGAGAGGGTTTGCACCGAAAAATAAATTAAAAAAACTGTAATGATATAAAAAACAACACATTAGGAATATTAAAAACTGGATTAAAGGCAGAGATTTAAAACGATGAATCAGACGGATAATTTCCTCACTAAGGTTTAAATCTGTCCATCATCGAGTCTGCGGTCATTTATACTTTACTCAGACTTACAGACTAAAGTTTATACAATGACTGAAATATAACTTATGACATTTAGTGAAAATCTACATTAATAATTAAATAACTTCATCTGCTGTAGAATGTAAATGTGACATTTAAAAAATACAAATGATGAATGTCAAGTTGGTATAAATATTTTTTCATTTGGTCTTTAAGTCAGTGTGAAGAGTTTATTTAATAATATCTTATCATAATTAGTTTGACCTTGAGGATCTTATGCAGGCAAAAATATCCTTTAAATAATAAAAATATTAAAACCTGACTAAGTTCAGAGGTTTCGGAGGTTCTCAAATAATACGACTAAGGTTTATATTCAATATAAATAAATATACCTGTGTGTGTGTGTGTGTGTGTGTGTGTGTGTGTGTGTGTGTGTGTGTGTGTGTGTGTGTGTGTGTGTGTGTGTGTGTGTGTGTTGTTCTCCTCATAAGATCAGGATCAAACACTGGATTATATTCCTTTCTAATTAATGTTAATTCCAGTTGTTCCACTTTTCTCAAAGAGATTTGGTTAATATGGAAATGTTTACTGTGTTATTGTTTGTGTGTGTGTGTGTGTGTGTGTGTGTGTGTGTGTGTGTGTGTGTGTGTGTGTGTGTGTGTGTGTGTGTGTGTTTGTTATGTAACATGAGGTTCTGACGAGGACTGTTCTGAAGCTCACAGTGAAGAAAAATCTGAATCCATAGACGTAATACTGCAGTAACGGTAGTAATACTACACAGAATAAACTCTCTGTTACAGTAATGTTATTAATGATAGACAGTATAAATACTACTACATTAACAGGGTATATATAACTGTTTGATTATTAATGTATCATTTTAAATTCAAAGCAACAGTTTGATAATCATGTATAATTTATTATAATGTCATTTTAAAAAGCAGTTTGATTATCAATGTAATAATTCATTGTTTATTCATTTCTAATAACTGCTGATACTGGTCTTTTTTTTTCTCTCCCTCGATCCTCTTCAGCAACAGTTATTATTTTGCTCAACAGCGGTCTGTTATCGAGTAATAACAACCTCTGAAATGTTTAAATTGACCAATCAGAATCGAGCATTCATCCAATCCTTGTGATAATATTTATTAAAATCTAAAAAAACTCTTTGAACATTAATGATTGAGTTATTCATTTCTAGTAACTGCTAGTTATTACATTTCCAAGATGTTAATAAAACACACTGTATGTTACATTTAGTGATAATGATTATATAACACTATTTTATAATGGTATAACTTTATTATAATATCAATACAACGTTCACATAGAACCTCCTCCAGCACCTTACTGGGGGGTCAGCGCTGGGACCAGTTGTAATGCGGGACAGTGTTCAACATTTTAACATTTTTAGTTTTGTATAAAGTCATAGCGCACAAAACAAACATAAAATAAAAATGTCTGTGTTTGAATCGGTAACAGAACTGGTTAACATTTTATTAAATCACATTATGAAAAACAAAATGCGTTCCCGATAACTTCGGCTAATTACAGCACAATGCTAACAAAACAAAAATCGTTATTTCCCGGTTTAGTTGAATACTCGATTCTGATTGGTCAATCTGGATATTTCATAGGTTGTTAATACTCGATAACACACAGCTGCTGAGGAGGACCAATGGAGAGGAGGGAACGCTGCACATTATCCCTTACTTATTAACCGCCCATGTTTCTAACACCTCCTTCATCACCTCCTCACCACTTGTTGCTCCTCTTCATCACCTTCTTATTTCACCTCCTTTTTAATGTCCCACCTCCTCCCTGTCTCTCTCTTATTACTGCATATCCAGTTTTTATAGATGGGGTGTAATATTATTATTATTATTATTATTACCCCCCCCCCCCCCTCCTCTCCCGTCAGGATCTCCCTGTACCTCCTGTCTCCCACCCACCCACCCCCCCCCAAAAAAACGCCCATGTGTAGCACTTCTAACAACTCCTTCATCACCTCCTTCATCACCTCCTCACCACTTGTTGCTCCTCTTCATCACATTATTATTTCACCTCCTTTCCTCCTTTCTAATGTCCCACCTCCTCCCTGTTTCTCCCCATCCTCCCCTCTCCCGTCAGGATCTCCCTGTACCTCCTGTCTCCCCCCCCTCCCCTCCCCTCCCCTCCCTCTCTCTCTCCCGGTGTTTGGGCGGGAGTTACCGGGAGGAGCGGCGGCAGAGCGATGCGGAGCTCGGCAGGATGTCTTCCACCTCCTCCCGGTCCCGGAGCCTCAGCCTCCTGCAGCTCTTCCTCCTCATGCAGCTCTTCCTCCCTCCCGGCCTCCCCCACCCGCAGCCGTGCCTCCTCCTGCAGCGGATCGGGCACAAGGTGCGCGTCGGGGCGCTTCTCCCGGCGCAGCGGGGGGTCCGGGTCCGGGTCCAGGCGGCGCTCAACCGGGCGGTGGAGGAGAGGGACAACCGGGAGAACCGGGACCCGGAGAGGGAGAAGGACCGGGACCCGGAGATGAGGACAAACTTCTTTCTCCCGTACAACTTGAGTCTGGAGCTGGTGTCCCGGCAGCCGGCGGCGGCGGACCCGGACTCGGTGCTCCGGTGCGGGTGTGCGGGTCTCGGGGCGTCGGGGGTCTCCGCGGTGCTCGCGTTCCCGCAGAACCGAGAGGAGCTGCTGCAACTGGACCTCATGTCCTCATTCATGGAGATCCCGTTCATCAGCGTCCTGGAGCAGGGAGAGCCTGTCCAAACACAGGTACACACACACACACACACACACACACACACACACACACACACACACACACACACACACATCTTTATAATATAAAAAATACTGATAATTATTTAATAATAAAGAACAGACACAGCTGTAGGCATCTGAGGATACACACACACACACAGTTTCAGACACACTCTCTCACACACGCACATACACGCACACACATAAAGGTCTTTATATAATGTAAAATACTGATAATGAGCTCATGTTGAACATTGGAAAGATGAATGTTTAATAATAATAAAGAAACAACACACAGCAGTAGGCTATCTGAGGACACACACACACACACACACACACACACACACACACACACACACACACACACACACACACACACACACACACACACACACACACACACACACACATATATATAAATGTACATATATAACCAGAAAAAAATTGAAGGAATGAAGGGCAGAGAGAGACAGTGTGTTTTAAGTTACATCTTCCTCCAGACAGAGACACACACATACACACACACACACACACACACACACACACACACACACACACACACACACACACACACACACACACACACACACACACCTCGGGCGCTCCCTGGGCTGGCACTTGTCCAGGTGTGTCCCCCGCTGGTGTCTCCCTCCAGTGTGTGTATGTCAGTGCGTGTGTGTGTGTTTTAATCTGTTTTCGTTTTTTTTGTGATCTTGTTTGACCTTGACTGTTTGCAGGTTCCTCTTCACTGGAGGAGGGTGGTGTCTGTCTGTATGTCTGTGTGTGTGAGTGAGTGTGTGTGTGTTTGTGTGTGTGTGTGAGTGTGTGTTTGTGTGTGTGTGTTTATTTGAAGCTGTAACTTAAAACACAGTCCCTCCCATCTCTCTCTCTGCCCTTCATTTCTTTAAGTGTTTGCTGGTTATATATGTGTGTGTGTGTGTGTGTGCGTGCGTGCGTGCGTGCGTTTGCATGTGTGTGTGTGTGTGTGTGCATGTGTGTGTGCGTGTGCGTGCGTGCGTGTGCATGTGTGTGTGTGTGTGCATGGGTTTGTATTATAATTTTCCGTCAACAGATGCGTTTATATTACCAATGTGTTTCCAGTGGAGAGAAACTGTAGTACAGCAGTGTGTAGTTCTGCGGACGTGTGTGTGTGTGTGTGTGTGTGTGTGTGTGTGTGTGTGTATAGAAGTGATTGGAAGCTTAGTTTTTTGAATATTTTCCTGACTTCCTGTACAGTGTGTCTTTCTGTGAGTGCGCGGCCTGTTGCTCGGCTGCTTCTTTGGATATTTTGATGTTATTTATGAATGTTTGTCCCTCAACGACCCAGAAAGTGCATCATTTCCTGCCGGGAGCTTTCACAGTAAAAGCCTGTTTTGATGGGATTATCTCTGCAGAGATTTTCATTTCCACGCTGGAAACAATCCGGTTAAAACTGCAGCTGATTCCAGGTTTCCTGTTTTTAATCTACAACAACATCGAGTATTATTCAGATTACAGTACACAGAGTATTATTCAGATTACAGTACACAGAGTATTATTCAGATTACAGTACACAGAGTATTATTCAGATTACAGTACACAGAGTATTATTCAGATTACAGTACACAGAGTATCATTCAGATTATAGTACACAGAGTATTATTCACAGTACATAGAGTATTATTCAGATTACTGTACACAGAGTATCATTCAGATTATAGTACACAGAGTATCATTCAGATTACAGTACACAGAGTATCATTCAGATGATAGTACACAGAGTATTATTCACAGTACACAGAGTATCATTCAGATTATAGTACACAGAGTATTATTCAGATTACAGTACACAGAGTATTATTCAGATTACAGTATACAGAGTATTATTCAGATTACAGTACACAGAGTATTATTCAGATTACTGTACACAGAGTATCATTCAGATTACTGTACACAGTATCATTCAGATTATAGTACACAGAGTATTATTCAGATTACAGTACACAGAGTATTATTCAGATTACTGTACACAGAGTATTATTCACAGTACAGTACACAGAGTATTATTCAGATTACAGTACACAGAGTATTATTCAGATTACTGTACACAGAGTATTATTCAGATTACAGTACACAGAGTATTATTCAGATTACAGTACACAGAGTATTATTCAGATTACAGTACACAGAGTATTATTCAGATTACTGTACACAGAGTATTATTCAGATTACAGTACACAGAGTATTATTCAGATTACAGTACACAGAGTATTATTCAGATTACAGTACACAGAGTATTATTCAGATTACTGTACACAGAGTATTATTCAGATTACAGTACACAGAGTATTATTCAGATTACAGTACACAGAGTATTATTCAGATTACAGTACACAGAGTATTATTCAGATTACTGTACACAGATTATTATTCAGATTACTGTACACAGAGTATTATTCAGATTACAGTACACAGAGTATTATTCAGATTACAGTACACAGAGTATTATTCAGATTACTGTACACAGAGTATTATTCAGATTACAGTACACAGAGTATTATTCAGATTACAGTACACAGAGTATTATTCAGATTACTGCATACAGAGTATTATTCAGATTACAGTACACAGAGTATTATTCAGATTACAGTACACAGAGTATTATTCAGATTACAGTACACAGAGTATTATTCAGATTACAGTATACAGAGTATTATTCAGATTACAGTACACAGAGTATTATTCAGATTACAGTACACAGAGTATTATTCAGATTACTGTACACAGAGTATTATTCAGATTACAGTACACTTAAGCAATAGCTCACCACAGGCCGTGGTATATGCTCATTATATCACAGCTAAGGGGCGTGGTTCGGCGCGACGCGAATACTATTTGATTTTCTTGGATATAAAAACAATGAGTCGTGACTTCTCTTCGACTCCAACGACAAAGACTTATGACTTTTCTTGGATATCACAGCAATGGAAAGTCTGGTGTACACACAGGTACCACAGACTTTACCACTAAAGACTTTACCACTAAAGACTTTACCACTAAAGACTTTACCACTAAAGACTTTACCACCACAGACTTTACCACTAAAGACTTTACCACTAAAGACTTTACCACTAAAGACTTTACCACCACAGACTTTACCACTAAAGACTTTACCACTAAAGACTTTACCACTAAAGACTTTACCACCACAGACTTTACCACTAAAGACGTTACCACTACAGACTTTACCACTACAGACTTTACCACTAAAGACTTTACCACCACAGACTTTACCACTACAGACTTTACCACTAAAGACTTTACCACCACAGACTTTACCACTAAAGACTTTACCACCAAAGACTTTACCACTAAAGACTTTACCACTACAGACTTTACCACCACAGACTTTACCACTAAAGACTTTACCACTAAAGACTTTACCACTACAGACTTTACCACTAAAGACTTTACCACCACAGACTTTACCACCACAGACTTTACCACCAAAGACTTTACCACTAAAGACTTTACCACTACAGACTTTACCACCACAGACTTTACCACTAAAGACTTTACCACCACAGACTTTACCACTACAGACTTTACCACCACAGACTTTACCACTAAAGACTTTACCACTAAAGACTTTACCACTAAAGACTTTACCACTACAGACTTTACCACTAAAGACTTTACCACTAAAGACTTTACCACTAAAGACTTTACCACTACAGACTTTACCACCACAGACTTTCCCACTAAAGACTTTACCACTAAAGACTTTACCACTAAAGACTTTACCACTAAAGACTTTACCACTACAGACTTTACCACCACAGACTTTACCACTAAAGACTTTACCACTAAAGACTTTACCACCACAGACTTTACCACCACAGACTTTACCACCACAGACTTTACCACTAAAGACTTTACCACTAAAGACTTTACCACTACAGACTTTACCACCACAGACTTTACCACTACAGACTTTACCACCACAGACTTTACCACTAAAGACTTTACCACTAAAGACTTTACCACCATAGACTTTACCACCACAGACTTTACCACTACACAGAGTATTATTCAGATTACTGTACACAGAGTATTATTCAGATTACAGTACACAGAGTATTATTCAGATTACTGTACACAGAGTATTATTCAGATTACTGTACACAGAGTATTATTCAGATTACAGTACACAGAGTATTATTCAGATTACTGTACACAGAGTATTATTCAGATTACAGTACACAGAGTATTATTCAGATTACAGTACACAGAGTATTATTCAGATTACAGTACACAGAGTATTATTCAGATTACTGTACACAGAGTATTATTCAGATTACAGTACACAGAGTATTATTCAGATTACAGTACAAGAGTATTATTCAGATTACAGTACACAGAGTATTATTCAGATTACTGTACACAGATTATTATTCAGATTACTGTACACAGAGTATTATTCAGATTACAGTACACAGAGTATTATTCAGATTACAGTACACAGAGTATTATTCAGATTACTGTACACAGAGTATTATTCAGATTACAGTACACAGAGTATTATTCAGATTACAGTACACAGAGTATTATTCAGATTACTGCATACAGAGTATTATTCAGATTACAGTACACAGAGTATTATTCAGATTACAGTACACAGAGTATTATTCAGATTACAGTACACAGAGTATTATTCAGATTACAGTATACAGAGTATTATTCAGATTACAGTACACAGAGTATTATTCAGATTACAGTACACAGAGTATTATTCAGATTACTGTACACAGAGTATTATTCAGATTACAGTACACTTAAGCAATAGCTCACCACAGGCCGTGGTATATGCTCATTATATCACAGCTAAGGGGCGTGGTTCGGCGCGACGCGAATACTATTTGATTTTCTTGGATATAAAAACAATGAGTCGTGACTTCTCTTCGACTCCAACGACAAAGACTTATGACTTTTCTTGGATATCACAGCAATGGAAAGTCTGGTGTACACACAGG